GACTGCCATCAGCTGATTCGGGTTTTGCTCCTTGGGGTTTATGTTTGTGTCTGCAGGTAAAGTTCCCGGAGGACGGTTGTTCAAAGCCATGGACAGCTGACCCAGCTGTGTTTCAATATTCTTTATGGCTGAATCATGCACTGCCAATTTTTCCTGCACTTTATTATTTGTCCCAATGAGTTGCTGAAACATACCCCTGATCTCCACCATGTTGTTATCTTGCTGCTGAGGGGGTGGTTGATAAACCAATTGCTGCTGATTTTGCTGTGGATAACCCTGTGGTTTCTGATAAGGCACTGACACTAATTGGTTTTGAGGGTGCATACCCCCAGGCTGCTGCATATTAGGCCTGTACTGCTGATTTTGCTGCGGTCTCCACTGCTGTGCTCCTTGTCTCTGACCCCCATAGTTGTTGACATAATTCATATCTTCCCGGACCCCTAGATTTTCACCTTCTCCGCTCCATGAACACACATAGGACTGATTAATACACGGTGTACATAGTCCTCCATTCGTTGTATCAACGATGTGCACCTGTTTTGTACCCATCTCATCAATCTTCTTTGTCAATAGGCTCATCTGGGTCAGGAGTGTGGCCATGTTCTCTTCCTGCGAATTATTGGGATCAAGTGGAACTGAGTGCACTATGGGTGCTAGTGTTGCACCTCTAGTCATCCACCCCGCATTTTGTGACATCTTATCGAGGAGAATTTTGCACTCGGTGAATGTTTTGCTTAAGAAAGCACCTCCAGCTGAAGCACCCACATTCGCTTTCAAGTTGTCAGCTAGACCCATGTAGAATCTCTGGCTGAGCATCTGATCTGGAATGCCATGATGAGGACACTTCACAAGCATCCCTTTAAATCTTTCCCAAGTTTCTTGCAAGGACTTAGTAGAATGCTGCCTATACTGCAATATGGAATCAATTTGCTGTGCAGTCTTGTTAGGTGGATAGAACTTGTTCAGACACTGCTTGACTAATTCCTCCCAAGTGGTCATAGAGTTGATAGAGAGCGAATTTAACCAAGTCTGAGCTACCCTGGTTACTGAGAATGGGAACAGGAGCAGTTTGATAGCTTCAGGGGTTACATTGGGCTGTCTTTGGATCATGCAAATTGACAGAAAATTTTTCAAGTGTTGTTGCGGGTCTTCAATGCTTGACCCGGTGAAGTCCCTTATTTTGCAGCAGATGCAGCATGTTGTTGGTGATCTGGAATGTCTCCGCTTGAATTGCGGGCACAGCTATGGCAGTGGCCAGATTGTCAGCTGTAGGCTGTGCCCAGTCATAAAGTGTAGCCTCGGGCACAAGAGGTGCCACCCCTCTGACATTTAAGTCAGCTGGCTCATCCCTGATGTTTCCGTTGACGTTATCTATGTCACCCATGTCAAATTCGAGTTAGTGTGTTGGTTGAGGTTGTTGAAGTCCTTTGTTGGCACGGTTCAATGCCCTGAATATTTTCTCGGGGTCTGAGAGTCCTTCTAGTATTTCTCCAGTCCTCGAAGAATTTCTAGGCATACACCTGCTTTCCACAAGATTTCAAACGTTAGAATTTCAATGAAAAGATTGGTATAGAGAAAACTGACTACACTTAGAATTTTTGTATTTCTTTCAATTGTAATTGATAACACCGTTAATTCCCCGGCAACGGCGCCAAAATTTAATCACGCTCAACTGAGTCTCACAAAAGACTAAGCGGGCGTTGCAATTATAATCTGAGTATTATTGCCCAGAGTCGAACCACAGGGAACTAACCTATCAATCACTAGATTTACTAAATTCACACAATCTGTTTTCCCAAACTTTTTGATTCACAATGGTTGATTTTCTAACAACTAAAGATTGAAAGTAATTAACAACTGAAAATTAACTAAACTTGATTGTAAACAGTAGGAATAAGGTCTAAGGCAATGGTTTCCCCCGTTGATAATTTCCTTGGTTGTATATGTCTTATAACTACGATTTAGTTGTCTCTAACAATCATGAACGCTCAAGCTATCATAATTCTCTCTCAAGTAAATATGATAATCTACTAGACGCACTCTCTCAAGCTACGCTAGCTAATTTCACAATACAATTCACTTAGATTGCACCCGGGGTTTCATTATCTCTAATCCATCCCCTAAACCCTCGATTATGACTCTCGTCTATACTCCGGGAGTGATGTTGTTCATACAATCACCTAAATATGCACTCTCTCTCAAGTATATACATAATAAATAGGGACGGATAATTGAGGGCCCTTTCAACTAATCCACAATCAAAACATAGACGAACAACTAGAGATTAACAACCAAATCCAATTATATTAATAAAACAACCAAGTCATTTCCAACGGGTTCCATCAAAACCTTAGATTAAGGTTTTTAGCTACTCATAACAATGGGGAAATAAACTACTAAAAGATTCATAATCGTAAATTGCAAGAAAAATAAAGAAGAATAAGAGTAATGATGTTTTGGGTGATCTCTCACACTTGTTTTCCTTGCCAAAGTACTCTCTAAAACATTACATGCCTCCCTTGGGCGAGTTCTATTGTTTAAAATAGGGTTTTGGGCTAAGAATTCCGTGTTTTGCACTTCAGTCCCTCAATTTTACGCCTCCTGCCACGGTCCTACCGCGGTTACGCCAGGACCGCGGCCAAATCACCTCTCAGAATCCGCAACACCTTCCTGCCGCGGTCCGACCGCGGTTACGCCGGGACCGCGGCAGTCCATCTCCAGTTCTGGTTTGTGCATTT